CGAAAATCAACTATCAGGGAGTCCCATAGACTTGCATAGAGCGTCCTGGACGTCGGTAATAGACGAGTTGAGATCGTGGAGAAATGCTATCCGCCGACCCATTCTCACACCATTTATCAACCTTTTTCCCACTCAATATCAAGCCACACATAATGTGGCCGGATTATGTTCACATTCCACTTCATCACTCTAGAGAAGTTAAACCCAAAATCAAATTCTCGAGTAACCACTGCTTATGTTTTACAAGTTACTCAACAGTACTGTAGACTGCAATGCTGCATTCAGGTCATACAATCTGTCGGCAGGGAGAATTCTTGGTGTAAACTCCCCGTTGGGAATAACAAGTAGAACCTGCAGACATGTTTGCAGCTGTTCTTATCACACCTGGGCTGTATAAACACAAACAGGAGCCCCATATTCTCTGAGGCCAGCAAGTCATTATAGAAAAAATTGCTGCAGTGAATGTATTTGCTTTAATATTCAGAAATGATTGTGGATATTGCTGTTCTACTAATTAATGCATGCTTAACAATAAAGCAAAACCAACTTGGAGAAAACACAATGGAAAGATAATGAGGAAGTGCATAAACAAAAGGGTCGGATTAACCCCTTAGGGGGACCCAGGGGCCTCTCCATTACTCACATTTTCCACATGAGTTAGTATATAATGATTTGTAATGGGAATTGTTGTCTTTTTGTCATATAAAATATGTAACATTTTCAGAGAATCAGGTCTTTTACAGCCGCAGAAAAATAAATATGTTTACAGTCTTATTACCTAGACTGTGAAGAGCTAGAACTCTTAATCTGGGTAGGGAGAAGCTTTTGTTGGGACTGTCGTCAGTGAGGTTTACGGCAATGATGGCCACCCATCAGATTAGTTTCAAAACACGGTTTGTCGGTATGACTATATTACAGTGTCATCAAACTTGTAATTATACAAACAAGTTAATAATATAATTACATTGTTTACTAGAGCCCTAAATTCTATCCTCTTCATTTGGCCCCCAGAGTGTATCAGATGCATTTAACTTTAAATAAACAATATCTTCTTCCAACCCCAAAAGGATATGAGGACGACAGTGAAAAACTGTAAATTATGATTCTCTATTTTATACGTTTGTGCCAAACAAAATGTCTAAGTTGCTTTATGAATTAGTGTGATATTGAAGTAGCCTGTAGCTTTATCAACATCTGCATGTAATTAACAACTGACTGCCAATCAAATAAAGAAAGTACAATTCAAAAACAACAATATTTATTGTCAGTTAACATTGAACTCTGCAGATATACAGTAAATACTGTGGATATGTGTAATGTTCCTCTCGGGCTGCATTTAAAAATAAATAGAGAACATAAATAAAATAGCTTTTGAAAATGTGTGCATCTTAAAAGTGCTTAATTTTAGATAAATAAAATAAAGTGTAGCAGCAGCTTGAGTTTCCCTTTTTCTTTGTTAACTGTTTCACATCATGACTTAACAGTTTCAGCCGATTATAGAACAATATCAGTCTTTACACATCATAACAATTGAACAGTTTTAAAGTTTCTCTTTCTTTCCCTCTTATATTGCAGTCCCTCACTCACTTTCTTTTAATTCAGTGCGAGAATTGAGCTTGAGCTTGTTGTCCTGCCAGGAGTTTAAATCTGGGCTGAAATGGTGTCAGGGCCATTCTCATACACATGTAGGTGCTCATTGGTTAGCCTCGGTTAGCCTGCCCTGGAACGATATTTATTTTTTGTGACCTCAGTTCTGACTTGAGAGGGAATGTTTGGTCAAACACTTTGTGTTTTGTCTCATAGTAGCGTTTTGGCACTTTTAATGAGCGCCACGGTCTCTGAACAAATGAGACACACTGGTTCTGTGCTCCCAGTGGGCAGGATGAACATGAATGAGTCCGTCCACTCAGGGTTAAAAGCTCTGTTCTCACCAGTGCTTGAATTGGAATAAAAAAGGTGCCAGTACTCTAAATCAGCAACGGTTTCAAGTCAATTTATTTAAACAGCCCAAAAACAAGTATTTGGCTCAAAGTCATAGTATATCCTATAATGCTGGTGGGTTTGTCTCTTTACTGTATATTTTAGAAAGGCTCACTGTACTGTACGGGAAGATTTTTTTTTTTAAATATTGAAGTTAGATGCATCAATCTGGTGCACTTTGAGAGCAAAATGAAGAGATATATGGATACCTCTCAACATCCATATGAAACAACTGTAAACAGATTTACTTTTTCTTTATGGATATAAAAGAAAGTAAAGCCTGACTCCTACTGGCGGCTGGTTAAATGACTCCTCGTCCCTGAGTACACTCACCATCTTTCAGCAGGAAAGGAGAGAGGGAATCCTTGTTCGGCGACAACCGCTGTCTTTTCGCACTATTATTAAGCCACGCTAACATTTTCGAAATGCTAACGTTATGTGATGTCTTTTCTGCTCTAGTCTATCGCTGCGGCGCGTCATAGATGCGTCATGAGATGCGTCATGAGATGCCGCCGGCTGGAAATATTTGTTGTCATGCGTCATGACGTGCCGAGCACCGGCACCTTGCCGGTACTCAGTAAGAAGTGCCGGTACCACATGGGTAAAAATCAGAAGTGCCGGTACTGCGTCGTACCGGTGAGTACCGGCCCAATTCAAGCACTGGTTCTCACTGTCCACTTTCCTCTTCTTGGAGAGCGCCATGTGTAATTATTTGTCTCTCCCTGTCGCTGCTAACACGCCTGTTCGCTCTCCTCTCCGCTTCTCTCCCTGTATCGCTAATTATTCTCTTCACTCACTCTCCTCTCCGCTCCTCTCTGCCGCTGTCTCGTCTCTTTTTCTGTCTTTCTCTCCCTGTATCGCTCACTCGTCTCTTTCGCCCCCTGTCGGCAGCGGTTAAAATAGAATCGCCCAGTCAAAATTGAAATCCCCTATTAATGTATTGATTATAGGTCCGGGTCCGTATAGGTCGGCGTCTGGGTCCGGATCCGGACCGCGGTCCGCCTGTTGCCGACCCCTGCTCTATTATATACAATGAAAAATGTTCGGTCATACCGCCACTTCACTGTCCCTAATACTGCATGCACTCACACTTTAAGTCAAACTAGGATTCCATGATTTTATGTAACATAAATATATTTTTCATCGAGCTATGTCCTTCAGATCTACTGTTGGTATTTCAGCCTTGGTAAACAATACAAACATGTGATACATGAGCTATTTAAGCTAGAATATATCTATAAATCAATCCATTTATGTAGAAAATGTGTTTTGAAATACAAACCGCTTGTGTATAAAGCTCTACAGTGAAGCAAGTGTTTTAAACACAATTAATCATAATGATAGAGACTCCAGGAAATCAAGGCGTAGTTAAAAGTAACTGGAGTTATCCATCAAACAAAACCTGCCCTTAAAGTTGATCCTTTTGGGGCCAAACTGCATCGGTACTCCTCCTGGCGAAGTGTCTCATTAAATCTGATTTGAATTCACCAAAGACCTTTGCTAGAAAAAGCCAAATCTGATTTTGAGTTAGAAGAATCTCAACCACTGTTCTGGACTCTTACCTAGTGTCTTGACTGAACGTCAAATTGCTAAATAAAAAGGCTCAGACAGAGTCACTTAACAGAAAGATGCTTGTCTCCATCAGTCTACGGATCAAATTAAATAACACGAACATGCCAGAGTTGCACAATAAATGTGATACCACTTTATAGGTCTGTTGTCATTAATTAGTTCAATACAGAGGCGTTGTGTCCCCCAGACCTTAATCTATTATTTAGTATCTATGTACATCTAGTTTATAATCAATGGGGTTCTCAACCAGTGGCATTAGAAGCTAACAACCCTACAAGTTTGTCTCTATGATTCAACTCATGATAGTGTTACAGTCTTATGAAAAGACGAGTTAGTTAGCATCTTAGCTTAGCATATGCGGGAAAAGCTAGTTGGCTCCGTTGAGCTCATCTACGCGTAACATTTTATTTGTTTAATAGGCACAAAAGCAAAAATGTACAAATGATTCTGTTTTGCATGTTTTTTTGTGCCGAACTATTTCGTGAAGTAGTTTCCAGGAAACTCCGCTTGTTGCTAAGCTAAGCTAATAGGCCGCTAACTTTAGCTTTCTTCAAGAGATATGAGAGTGGTATTGTCCTCTAACTATACCAGAAATGAAATAAGCAATTTGTCTTGATGTTAAGAATACATCCTTGAAATGCTTGATTGGAAGCAGAGTTTTTATTTGAACATCACATAACAAGGGAACACACAACTTCAGAGGGAAAAAAACATGTTGAGTAGTTATTTGCCAATGTTAGTGATAAACCCAATGTCACATTTATGGGTGACACTTATTTTTTCCAGAAAGTTTTACCCCCAACTAAGTTGTAGCGCAAGTACAAATAGTCCTGGGCTTCTTATGGGAAAATAGGAGCTCTTATTTACAAACACTTAATCTCCAAGTGATCTCATATTGTCTGTGGGCATGGGAAAAGGCTAATTCAAACTAACTTTGAGACAATAATCACCACTTCAGAGTATATATTGCTTCATGACATTGCAAATGCCCCCTCTGGTTTAACAAAAGTAATGGGAATTGGTTGAAATCACATGAAAGTCTTGTATAAGGTTATTAAAGACTATATTAGATTTGTCCAACATGGCCTGAGATGCAACAACAAACAAACAGGAGGACCCATCCCTTTCTTCTTGAATAGTTGATGTCATTAGCTGCCTGGTGATGCTGATTGATAGCCTTTTTCCTCAAATAGCCAGATTCAAATGTGGGAAACCAACTTCTTATTCCTCATTCATAAACACAGGTTCAGCATTTAGATTATTCAGTAGAAACAAAGGCACTGGCATAACAGATTGAAATATAAAACAATGACTCGTTACCGTTTTATCAAACCAACGTGAAAACAAGATGTCTGGCCTGTAGGTAGGATGACCTCCGCCTGCTGCTGCGTGACAGTGAAAGATAAAAAGCACTGACATCAGCCCCCCCCCCCCCCCCACCCTCTCACCTGTTTATTCATGAAGACATAGATGACCGGGTTGATGACGGTGCTCGTCTTGGCCAGGATGGATGGGATGATGCTCGCGACGGGGGTGACCATGCCCGGCGACCCGAAGGTGGCCAGCAGGGCCATGATGCCGTACGGGAGCCAGCACAAAAGGTAGCAGACCACCATGACGACCACCATGAACAGCACGCGCTGCTCACGCTTCCTTCTTACCGATGCGTTGATCCCGCTCACCTGGAGAACGTGAGGGAGAGAGAGGATGAGGAATCAGACTTCATTGAGCTAGCAATGACACAATGTGTTCTGACATACAGGTTTTTCGCCACGAGGAGTCCAGGAAATAAAATGCATGAGTGGAGGTCAGGCGAGTTGAAGGGAGACATTGAAAGCTGTATAAAGACACACAGAAAGCAAACAGGGAAACTCATACTGGACATCAACAAAATGACTTTAAGCATTGCGGGAATGTAGCAGAAGAAAAAAAACGCCAACTCGTACATCCCTGCTCATTGGATTAAAACATATATATTAGGTACTGCACAAAATATACACATTGTTTTCCGAATTGTCTTTTGCATACGTTGGTCACAATGCAAAGTATGGCAAAATGCACTATGAGACGGTGGATGGTGCACTTACAAAATACTTTGTCCAGGAACGATGATCAACATTTTGGCTGAACACGGTCAAAATGTACGCACTGCAAAAGTGTTCACAGTGCATGACAGTGTACGATGGGAAATATCCACATTGAGATATAGCAACTGTTTTGTCCTCAGAAATTAAGGGGTAATAGTAAGCATCTAGCCATAATTCCCTTCAGTTATATAATACTCAACAAGTAAAAGCAATCGATTTTAGAAAATACATGTCAGGATTTGCTTTGTGGTTCCTTACACTCTTGTGATTTTGGTTTTTGAAATAAACTCTTTATCAGGGCTGTGTATAGGCAAGAATCTAATGATATCATATTAGTAGTAATATTGAAAAACTGTTAGCAAAGAAAAACATTTCATTTTAGGAAAGCTAATATAATAAAAAACACACCATCAAATGATTTTGCTTTTATCATAGTCCCTTGTAATATCCAACATCACAGCACTACATACTTGGTATATGCGTACAAAACAATAACAAAAATGTTCTAAAACGGTAAACAAATTAGTTAAATACAATTTTAACTGACCATCACACAGACGCCAGTAGGACTAATTGAATCTGTTTTGACTCCTGCTGCCATTCAATTTCTAACTTGGCAGCACACAGAAGGTGAAACATGCTTTAAAAAGCTTCTGAGGAAATGATTAGATTTTTGGCTTGTTTGCTTGAGATGTCAATTATAAACTCAACAAACAAATTGAAAAACAAACTTTAGATTCTAGTAGCAGCCAATATGTCTAAAAAATGTTTCTTGCCAAAAGCTTAATTTAGTGCCATGTTGTGCATGCTCTACTTTTTCATGCATGGTTCTGAATACAGTATATCAGCGCATTATCTCGCTACCCGGACGCTGTAGAATGTCGGCGAAAACCACCTGCTCATGGAAATCAGTTCCCTAGCACATCCATTCACCAACAACATTACACAGGTCATGAAACACGGCTTGCCACTTGCCATTTGATAAACTTGTAGTCTTTTTCTCGCTTTTTTGGTGTCATATTATATTTGGTGAAGTTTTAAGAATTGTTCCTTTTTGGCAAAGGTCACCTCCAATTCGGCTAAGCAAAGTTCTTGCTCTTTTTTCACTCTGTACACTTTCTCCCTGTGTCAACTCTAAAAAATAGGTTGCTAATAGCTTCAACCTTTGCTCTGATGAAATAAATGGTGGCAGAGATCACAGACAAATTGATAAAATGTGAAGTAACAGATGAATGATTGCAATTAAAGGCTGGGTAGCTGTTGAAAGGTAACTAGCTTACTAATTGATTGCCCTTCCACAGAAAATGTATCATATGCTAAACATCAGTCACTAAAAGCTGTGTCGAGTCCATGTGACAGCACAAATCTGTGGCAGCATTTTGTGAAAACGATAGGACTACAAGCTTGGTGATGAGCATGAATATGTGACAGGAAGTCAATTTTGATGATTGACTCTGAGCAGGCAGTGAACTGAGAGCAGCAGTCCCTTCTTTTTGTCTTTAGCTGCACACTGTAACAGCTTGAAATGGAGTTGCAAATGATGGGCAGTAGTCCAAAGAAGCCCTGATGCTAACAAAATGTGGATAGGCGAGATGAAAATAATTTGTCAAGAACTGTTTGATGAGAAATGTTGGTCAAGAGAGAATAACTTCACAGAATTTCACTGACTTCATAAAATGTTCAATGTCTTATTCCCTTCTGTGATGACAGAAGAATCATTGTTTGCTCTTGAGACATCTGGCAGGCTTTCAGTTATTCAGACAGATCATCTGGCCAGTGTGCTGTTGTTAAAATGAGTCTTGAAACTAAAATGAACTGCCTAGAAATAGAAAAGCTTTTCAGATTGTGGTTGCATACACACATTTGATTTGCATCTACCCTTTGTCCATATGTGCACGTTGCTTGTCTTGTATCAGTCTCACATACTATACGTTTTCAATTTGTGCCCAGCAAAAGAAATGTTCCAACACTTAACCCTTGTAAATGTCCAACTGACAACTGTCAGCCCAGAAACCACCAATATATTTGTAACCTTCCAGTCCTACACAATCCCCAAAGTACATTATGGTGCAACAACAAGGTCACTCACTGTACTTCAACCACTTCCACTGAACAAGTAAGGTCATTCTTCACGCAGCCACAATAGTTCACTTGTCTGAGAAATATAGTTTAAGAAGATCGATTGTACGTACGGTACACTGCACTGTGTATAAGTGTGCCTGTCTGAAAGGGAAAGATACAGCAGTGATTTAGTGTTCTGAGGATGAATAATGGTGTGTGAAGATACGGCTAAACTGTGTGTTGTGCCTCTTGAGAAACACGAGAAAATTACACTTTGCTTTATTGTAGGCAATTAACTCATCTTAAAAAATATAAATTGGTGGTTGCTGGGTGACTGTTTTAGTTATTTTTTATGTATTGCCCAATAGTCTGCGACTAGGCGGACTCAAAATGGTCACCTAGCACTGTGCTAAAAGTTGAAATGATTTCAATTGACTGACCTTTTGACACCAAACTCAAAGAGCAAATTGCGTATCATGTGAATGCAGTATTATGGTCAATGTTATTTTTCAAAACTCATGAATTAGAATCACCTTGTTATAGTCCTGTTTACCTTCCTGTCCTGTACTTAATAACAGACAAACTTAGCGACTACCTGAAGAACAAAGTGGGCAATAAGGTGTTAGAAACAGCGGACTGGTTGCCAACAACTTTTTCATAATAACTGTTAGGAAATGCTGAAATTGGTTATTTGTTCGAGCGTAGTGCTTTTGCTATATTCTGTTTGGGCAGAAAAACTATAGAGGATTTGGTTAAATGATTCACATTGAAAGTGCTAAATAATGAAAAAGGAATGAAAAATAAGTGTTCCTCCCATGAAAAGAAAAAAAGCTAAATGGAATTCAACCATTGACAGAAATAATTTAAAACGTTGCTTTGCTCACTGTGTCAAACTTGTCTTCTGAAAAAAGGCAGACAGTACAGTATGTAAGCCAATTTCAGCTTGTGTTCCCCGCTGGCCCACATGATTGACAGAAAAAGCAATCATTTGTATTGGTCCTGATGGATCAAATTGTGATGATGGAATGATTGATCGCTAAATGACATTTTAATGTGTGCATTGCAGCACTTTTAAAGCTGTTTCTCTTGCACTTATGCCCAGCAGTCTTATGTGAACAGCAATTTGGATTTTGACCACTTGACACACTCAGAATCAGGCCTATTCTTGAGGGATTATTGCTGATGCATTGTGGCTGTTCTTGGGCACTTTTTATTATAAACACACAGAAGCTAATCAATCTAAACCCAAAGAAAGTGTTGACGTATAGAAAGGCCACTCAGCCAACAGAACAGGAAATTGGAAGGCCCATTCAAACTGCAATTTCTAAAAAAATGCAATTTTAAAAACATCACCATGCTGTCTGACATGTAGTACCATTTGAATAATAGAATCAAAATACCTGAAAATCGTATTATGCTTTGGTTGTATAACAATTCTACTGCAAAGCACAAAAAACATCCTTTCAGGTTTCATAATTGTATTTTGTGCCTCTTCTTTGACATGCTTCAATGCAGCACCTCTGTTCACCCTCTGTGTGTGGGAGTTCAACTTTGGGATTTTAGCCTTTGCAGACCATTTACATGCACAGAAACGTATATAACACACTACAGGAAAGGGAAAACTCCAAAACATAATAGGGCATCTTTAAATATCATGTCAAGAGGACAAATAATCCTGCAAAAACACCTTGCATAGCCTTCTGAATCCTTTTCTGTAATGTACACTGCTGCCATTATAACGCTGTGTAAGTGTGCCTGTCTGAAACGGAAAGATACGACAGTGATTGTGTGTTCTGTGGTTTTCTGCTACACAGACTTTTGCTCTTCCAGATGACACTGAAATTGACATTAAGAGCATGCTTTCAATATGTGACTGTCTGTGGGAGTAGACAAGCTGTTGTCACACTGACATCTGCTGTAGAAATGTCCTATCTTTAGTCAAAGCCATCTATTTTAATCACAGCATGTCATATATAACAGGATGAATAATGGTGTGTGAAGCGCAGGAGATGGGTAATCTGTGTGCCGCACCTCTGGAGAAACATGAACAAAACACTTTGTTCTATTGTAGGCTTTATTAAAGGCAATTCACCTGTCTTACAATGAGGGAATGGTACAGAAATGGGGAATGAAACTGGTAGTGGTCGAATTTAGAGCACTAGATACTGTTAGTTGAATGGCAGCAGCTCTATTAAAAAAAGAACTGACTGCTGTTGGTGTTGCAGTGTTTAAGGCAGGAGATTATTAAAGTTTGAGCAAAGAATCCTGGGTAAGGAAAGCACAAAGTTACTTCCATTCTCGGGTTATGGCTGCATCGTGGGTTATATATGATGTCCTCATCTAGAATCATGTCAGGGCCCCAGCAGGCTTCAGACAGGAGCTGGTACAGTCTTGGATGATGTGTCCACAGTGATGGACAGGTGAAGCAGAGTCCTAACATCCAGCCAATCCAGTTTTTAGTATTGTTAGTAGTTTTCAAAGAGAATACATCAATAGAAAACCCATTGTTTGGTTTATTCTGGAAAGTGTGTTGA